ACACTGTCCTCTAGAAGGGCAGACTTCCTGTCCCCCCTCCTCAGAGCACCCAGCGGGCTCATACCGTCGCTGTTCCAGGTAGCGTCCGGACACGCTGCTCCCACCAGGTTCCTTCCTGGGACGGTGACAAGCCCAGGAGACCTTAGGGGGCAGCTCTCCTGTGGTACACGGAGCCACCAGGTTCTGACTCGCACGGCGGCCTCCTGGGAGAACAGCCTGGAAATACCCTCCAGTAAAGAGGCTACCTCTGACCCAGTGCCTTCACGTGGATGTGAACACGGCAAAAGACAGAGCCCGGCCCCCGGGATTCCATGCCTGTCATCTTCATGGGCGTGCAGGCCCACTGCTCTCTCTCCCACGGCACAGATGCTGGGCTCCGATTAGCCAGCCTTTTAGTTACCAGCGGAGGGTGTAAACCATTGAGTCATAAAGGACTCTATACGCCAAAGTGTTAAATCCAATCTCACTACCATCAAGTGATTTCCAACTCATAGGGACCTTGCGTACAACAGTCTCACAGCCTTTCCAAGGTTGTAGTCTTCAAGGCATCAAGATTGGAGGAAGACTCATCAACAACCTGCATTATGCAGATGACACAACCTTGCTTGCTGAAACTGAGGAGGGCCTGAAGCGCTTGCTGCAGAAAGTCAAGGACTGCAGCCTTCAATATGGATTGAAGCTCAACATCAAGAGAACAAAAAGATTCTCACCACTGGGCCAATCGGCAGCATCATGATAGATGGTGAAGAGATTGAGATTGTTCACAGCTTCAGTTTGCTTGGCTCCACAGTCAACACTCTTGGTACCAGCAGCCAGGAAAGAAGAAAACCAATAGCATTGGGAAAATCTGCTGTCAGGGACCTCTCCAGGGAAAATGGTATCAGTCTAGAGACTAAGGTGCACCTGATCCAGGCTATGGTCTTCACAATTACTTGCTATGCGTCAGAGAGCTGGACAGTGACTATCATATCTATCATAATAGAAGATGAATTGATGCCTTTGAGCTGTGATGCTGGAGAAGAGTATTGAATATACCATGGATTACTAAGAGAATGAACAGGTTCTTCCTGGAGAGGGTGAAACCAGGCAGCTCCTTGGAGGCAAGGATTCTGAAACTCCGTCTGACATACTTTGGACATGTTGCAAGGAGGGACCAGTGTCTGGAGAGGGACATTATCCTTGGGGAGTGGTGGGACAGTACAATAGAGGAAGACCCTCAAATGGATGGATTGATTCAGTGACTGGGGTAATGGGGGTGGGGGTGTCAGAGACAACGAGGTTGGCACAGGACAGAGCCGGATTCACATCTGTGGTACATGGAGCTGTTATGAGTCACAAGCAACTCGATGGCACGTAACACCAGCTCTTCCTGGCAACGAAGAAATCTTACTGGCAAAGGGAACTGCATGCCCCGCCGATTACCCAAAGAACAAAGCAGTCTGTTGCTGGTGGACGTGCGACCTTGGAGACGAGGATGGTGAAACTTGGCTTCACATGCCTTGGGTATGTCGTCAGAAAGGGCTCATCCTCGGGAAAACGACATCGTGCAGGGAAGGGTGGTGGGTCAGGGAAAGAGAGGAAGACCCCCAATGAGATAGACTGACACGGTGACCATAGCGATGGGCTTGAGGAGGTCAGAGGTCAGGAGGAGGTTGCAGGACAGGGAGAGGTTTCAACGATAAGGTTGCTGTGAGCTGTAGCTGACCTGTGGGCACCCAACAACAACAGTGACAACAACAACAATGTCTGTGGCGACAGATCGCTCTGTCTGTGTCTAGCACACCAACTGGTGGGGTCAAATGACCAACTTCTTTGTTTTTTATTATTATTAATGTTAATGAAAGTTTAAAGAGACTTTGGATTTCCATTCATTCACTGTTGCACTTTTCTCCCTGCCCACCCCTCTCCCCCAGTTCACTTTTCTCTTTGAAAAGTGAAACAAAAGTTCCCCCATTATTTTACAATTCCTCTCCCAAGTCCACTCCATTCTGCAGCCTTCGTTCTGGACTCCTGTCATGACAATAATATCTAATCCTATATCTCTTTTAAAAAAAGTTCCCTCCCTCATTTGTTTCAATGCAGTATATATAATTTATCCCATCTTTCTCAGTCTCCCCCAACCCTAATATCAGTCCTGTTTTACAACAGTGGCACTATGCAGTATTTGTCCCTTTGTGACTGAGATACTTCACTCAGCATAATGTCCTCCAGGGTCACCCATTGTGAATAATATTTCATGAGTTCCTTGTTTTTCAATGCAGCATAATATTCCATTGTGTGAATATACCACAGCTTCTCTATCCATTTGTTTATGGGCACTTAGGTTGTTTCCAGCTCTTTGCTATTGCTAACAAAGCCGCGATAAACATGGGTGTACGTATATCTGCTTGGATGTCAGTTATGGTCTCTTTGGGGTATATTCCCAGTAGTGGAATTGTTGGGTCAAATGGTATTTCTATTTGCAACTTTTTGAGAAAGCGCCATACCACCTTCCACAGTGGTTGCACCATTTTACACTCCCACCAACAGTGAATAAGGGTTCCAGTTTCTCCACAACCTCGCCAGCATTTGTTGTTTGCGGTTCTGTTACATTTTGTTATTCTGACTGGAGTGAGATCGTATCTCAGACTTGTTTCAAACGACCAGGTTTTCAGGATCAGCTGAACATGCTTCATCTACAGCCTGGGATCCTCATTTGTAAAGACTCAGGAGCTCAACTCCTGGCCTTCACATTGGAGTGGACTCAGAGGTTTCTGAAGCCACACCACTGGGGAGTGTGTGTGTGTGCGAGATGCCCCGTCTTCCTCCTAAGGAGACACGAAGGGTGGATTCGAACCCCCTGAGCTCAGGCTAGGAAATTCTTCAGGGGAGCCAAATCTGCTTTGTCACATGGTGTCACAGATTATCAGAGTCCACTTGTGACCCCCAACGATGACCCCTGGACATCCTAGCCTTTCCATCTTTGAGTCCCTACCCATCTTGTAATTTATTTTCTTGTTTAAAAAGAATTTTACCCATCAACAAACGAATGCATAGAGAAGCTGTGGTATAGTCACACAATGGAATACTATGCAGCATTGAAAAACAAGGAACTCATGAAATATTATTCAAAACGGGTGACTCTAGAGAACATTATGCTGAGTGAAGTATCTCAGTCACAAAAGGATAAATACTGCATAGTGCCACTGTTGTAAAATGGGACTGGCATTGGGATTGGGGGGAGACTGAGAAAGATGGGATAAATCATGTATACTGCATTGAAACAGATGAGGGAGAAAACTGTTTAAAAGGGATATGTGATTAGGTATTATTGTCATGACAGGAGTCCAGAGCGAAGGCTGCATAGTGGAGTGGACCTGGGGGGAGGGTTTGTAAAACAATGGAAGAATTTTTCTTTTACTTTTCCAAGAGGGTAGTAT